ATAATAAAAATTGTATAAATCACATTTGGAAAATTGCGGAACATTTTGGAAAAATTTCTATCTACGACATTAATTACAGAATCACATTAAATACTGAATCACATTAATTACAGAATCACATTAATTACTGAATCACATTAATTACAGAATCACATTAATTACTGAATCACATTAATTACAGAATCACATTAATTACTGAATCACATTAAATACTGAGTCACATTAATTACAGAATCACATTAATTACCGAATCACATTAATTACTGAATCACATTAAATACTGAATCACATTAATTACTCAATCACATTAATTACTGAATTACATTAATTATTGAAAGCATCTAAACATAAATATTAATCGTCTTCGTTCCATTTTTGTATTCTCATTAAGTTTAAATGAAATAAAAAGTTAAAAGTTGCACAACTTTTTCGCTGAGAGAAGCAGTGTTGAAATCGGAGTCGGTCGAAATCGGGAAATTTTGCCTGACTTTTCATCCGACCCCAGAAAGGGTTAAAAGTTTCAAAAAATGTAAAACTGATTCGCATGTTAGTGATGCAAAGAAACTCGACAACTATGAAGCTTGCCAATTATACAACTTGCTAATTATAAAACCTCCTGCCTTGCAACTCAGCAAACTACAACGTTATTTTCTGGTCAGCCACGATAATGCAAAAATTTGATATAACCTTTCATTATATTTTAAACAATTAATATAGAAAAATTTCACTGAGAAAAGCAATTACACCGACTGATTTTCATTGAGCAGTTAGTGAAAGATGATATCTAAAGTAAAACTGTTAAGCAAAAGTTGAAAAAGTGTTCAGAGAGTTGGAACCAGTATCAGGAGTGTGAGGATGATGAATGAAGGAGTCGCAGTTGACTCGCACACCCTCAAACACCACACAGGTTGCACATATTTCACGGTGGAAAAGCATGGTTGCTATAAAAAGTTTGCTACTGCACGAATCGATGGTTAACTGTTGAATAGATTCAGCTTGCACGATAAAGCTTGCACGAAATATTCGAAATAATTTGAAGGATCTAAAAAAGTAGGATATATGAGATGAATAATCGTAAGAAACATGCTCCTTACACGTTACGCTTCAACATCATCCGGCTGTAGGTGAGGTCAGTACCTGTGTAATGGAAAGAACTTGATCCGAACGGGCCATTCACATTTTGATAACAACAGCCGTTGAACCAATTCCCTGATGAATAAAATGAAGCACAACTACCGCCAAATAACTGATCGTTATCCTGATCAGGAGTTGAAAAGTTCATACCGTTGTGATAGTTTAAAACATTTCTCTTATCTCCACAGTATCCAGAAACGTTGATGGAAAACTTTTCTAGCTCTGAATTGATCTAGGTTTGTTTGTTTATTCATCTTGATATGATGATATTTTTTAAAAAAGTATTTGACAATGGTTACAAGTTATAAAAATTTTTAAAATAAGCAAAAACTGTGGAAGATGGAGGTAAAGTTCAATGTTACTTTCAAATTGTTATTTGAAATTTATAGGCCTGCGAAAAAACAAACCCTGAAATGGTCATATTCATCGGAGTACCAAGAACCACTGATGAGATTTTCAAATCTTAACCTGTAATCAGCCGAGGTCGTTAATTGGTGCATCTTCTCCAAGCCCAACCAGAAGTTTTTGTAGTAAGTTCCAAATCCTGACTTTTTAATTATTAAAACAATTAAATTTAACAAATATTTAGGGAAACAATTTAGTATACCAAATACCTTGTACTCATTCCAACTTAGGTTGAAACTCTGCGAGCCATCAATCCTCTGCTGAATGACAATCCATCCATTGACAGACGTGACAGGAGTTGAGTTGGCAAACGTTGGAATGTCCAACAGGATTGTTTCATTGGCAGCGCTGTAGGCTGGTGTATGATAGAACTACAATCATTGCGCATTAGAGATAATTATTCGGATGAGAATAAATTTTTGATATACTTAGTTCATCTTTTTACTGAATATATTCACCATGATTTAATTCCTTATTTTGTAATAAAAGTATTGTAACAATAACCTTGAGGATCGAGACAGATGGACGATGTCCTGTTAGCAGTGAGACACATGTACAAACCACATGTATTGTTGATGCCAGGCAGGGAGTTGGAACAAGAGTAGAACAATCCACCGTGAAAGTGAATGGGAAGTTGCAGGATTTGCTCAGGGTCAGCGGGTAATTGAGGGCTTTCAAAATTTCATTTCAATTGATTTTTTAATTATTCAAATAAAAAATGAGAATCTGGCAGACGCGGAATCAGTTACAACACGCAAGACAATATTAAAGAATGAGGAGAATGAGTAACGGTATACGAAGGTACGAACAAGCATAGAGAATAAAATAATGGAATAGAGGTAATGACAATCTCATTACTTACTATAGAACCCATTATCTTAAAAATTTATGAAGTGAAAAATTGTTTAATGAGACAATATTAATCTAAATAATTATAACTGCTTTTTGAGTTTTGTAAAACAACAATTAATTAAATACAACAGTTAGAATTATTAAAGTATCATTAGACAAAAGGCCATCAAAACCAGAAGTTGCAAGGCTCAAAATTTGCGCAACCTCAAAATTTAAAAAATGAGATGAAGGATTTGAAATGATGCTGAAGTTAATTGTGTTGGCCTCCGTAACCATAACAACAAGATTTGGTAAGTTTTTTTTTAAAAACATTTTTTATAAAATTCAATAAACAAACAAATATTTTTAAAACTCTGAAAAAATTCCAATTACGCCACATAATATCAAGTGATTAAAGACAACTATTCTTAGCAAGTTTGATACATAATAAAAGACTGAATGATGAACTTATAAACTTGAAATAAAGAACTAACTTGGTATTGGCACGGTCGAATCATCCTGTTGTAAAATGGATTCAATTGGTTGATATGTGATAAACTTTGAAAGTGCAACTATAAAAATATTTAATAAAAACTCATTCAACTAACCCGATATGCTTTGCAATGAGTTCTATTCAGAACAATCTTGAACTGATCCTCGGATGTGAAATGAAACAGTTGGCAATGTTTTGCCGAATCGCTAGCATCGTTGGACCAGTAGTTGAATGCGTTGCAAGTGATGTTACCATCAGTGGGAGAAACATAATGAGAACATTTGGTAGAACATTCCAGTAAGGATCGTATGTTGGTTAGTACTGTGGTAGGCTCTGAAGCAAAACACATGCGGTTGTCTGGCTCTCCTATCATTCCATACTTCTTATCAACTGCTGATGCTAACAATGTTTCGAAGATTGATAACAAAATTGTTAACAACAGCATGTTTGCAAATAACGTGTTTAAGTTTTTCAGTTGAAACTCAAAATTTAATTAAAATCTTTTCACTGCTTGGGCACTCAGTTCAGCAGAGTCTAAGATAATTTATCATTATTTCAATCAGCAACCAGTAAACATTCCACGTTGTCATGCCATCATCGATCTGTTTGTCTAATCAAACAAACTGAAGTATACAATTTTAAAATGAGTTTGTATATTAACTAAAGTCTCAAAGTTGTCGAAGGTATATCATACATGTAGTTATTGAGTATGCCATCTATATACATTTGGGACGTAATCAACATATAAATTTTTCTAAACAATTCTAACATTTTAGGAAAGCAAATTTTCAAAAATATATTTCACGAAATTTTCATTTTAACAGGAGTTATAACATAAAGTTAGTTTAATTTTCTCAAAAAACCCCAAATACTACTTAAAATACTTTACAACGCCACTGGCATGCTATATCTTTTATATCTAAGGATGTGATATCTTCATATATCCTTGTATATTTTTGTCCTATGTTAGTACAAATGAGCATTAAGACAAGTAACATGATTTAATGCATCTTTAATGAGGTGGCATTGTTCAGTTTCATTTAAATTTTGTGAAGAAAAGGTTGGAGAATTTTAAAATTTTTCTTCTGATACGAAGGTGATGAATATTTCAGCAGGAGGTCTATCTTTTTTTTCATTTTATTTTTTTTTTAATTATTTTTTGCCTTTTTTAATGTTCACTCATTATTTTGGTTTGTTCTTTCTACTCACTTTTATAATTATTAGTTTATTCTCACTTATTTTCCTTATTATTATTAATATTATCATTATTATCATTATCATCATCATCATCATTCCATTTGATGCGTAAACAAAAGAGTGTTTTTATTATTATGGTTTGTTATTATTATAACTGTTGTTGTTTTTATTTATTATTATTATTTATTGAAGTATCAACAACACACACACATACACACCCACAGCACATGTGAATGCACGTGGATCAATGCAATGCATCCCACAGGGGCGAGATGAGGATCGAACCTGGCGACTACGAATTACGAAAGAAGGATCAGACGCCTTATCCGTTACACCACAAACCACATATATTATAAGGACCAAACTCTGACTTTAAATTTTTGGATTTTACAAAACAATATTACTTAATTCTGAATTTATTCAAATTTTTATTTATATATATCCAATTATATCCAGGCACAATTAACTATGCGTTACACTGACACCATAACGAATTAATTGTAGTAGATTATGTGTAATAGTTGCAGCTGTATGAGAACATTCCAGAACATTTCATTGCCTATTTTGTTTAAAACTTCATGGCTCACAAGTCAGTTATAGTTAGCGTTGCTGTTGTTGTTGTTGTTGCTGTTGTTGTTGTTGTTGCTGCTGCTTGTGGTCGTGTCGTGAGATGAAGCGGGTTTCTTCAAGTGTTGGGTCAGAGTTGGAGGTGCTTTGTGCAAAATCTTTGTTCAGTGGCTTTTGTTCGTGTGTGTGAAGATAATAAAAATAGGTAAGTGATTTGAATTGAATTTAAAAGAATAGAGTAATTAGGCTAACAAAATGATCTTGGCGTGTTATGTTTTATGCGTTTTTGCAGTTCATTTATTCAATCATTCATTCACTCATTCATTCACTCACTCATTCATTCATTTACTCATTTACTCATTCATTCATTCACTCATTCACTGACTTGTATCTCTTCTTTGGCTGGTGGATTTCTCAGAAAAAGGTGCATGGGTGAGTAGAGGATGTTGATGGTTGCCAGCATCCACATCAGTCTGGCGGTCATTGTCATCGTTAGAATATTTTTTAAATTCTACTTTTACCTATTTTACAAGTGGCTCTTCGGTGTTCAGAAAAGTACTGGAGTAGTAAATTAGTGCTGAAGTACCGAAAATAGTGCCAAAGTGCCAAAGAAAAATCATATCAAAGTGCGAATAATTTTTCTAGACTTTTTTAAAAATCTGAAGTACTGAAACTGTACATGTGTAATTAAAAATGGTGCAAATTATAAAATAATATTAAAATAGCCAATAAAAAAAATACTAAAGTACTAAAAACCGTGCCGGAGTAGTAAAAACAGTACTTGAATATTGAAAATAGTTCTAAAGTATTAAAATAAGTACACAAGAATGTACAACGAACCCTTTGAACTCAATGCCCTTGATGATGGGTCCGCTTACTGCCGGCCCTAGAAAAACGCGGAATCATCAGTTAGTTGAGTGGGGAAAGGAGTAAAAGACAAAATAAATTCTGATATTCAAAAAATTAAAATTATTTAATAATGTTTAAACAATTTTTTTTTAATTTCGTTACAATTCTGAAAATTGCAGTATCTCAAGAGCGCGCTATTTGTTACAATTTTTCGACTATAATTAATTAAATCAATTATTTAAATAAATAAATAAATAATGATTATATGACGTTATAAATATGACAACAAAAAAAAGGAATAAATATTATATAAAAGGAAGGAACCAATGATGAAGCCGAGACGAAAGGTGGCATCGGAAATGGCATAGACACTTCCATATATGGGCAAGTGACGTAGATCAACTAGGTGTGCCATCATTGGCATCATTGCTGAATCTACCATTCCTATGTGTGTGTGTGTGTGTGCGTGCGTTTGCGTGTGTGTATGTGTGTGTGTTGTATGTGTGTTACATGTGTGCTACATGTGTTTGTGTGTGTGTGTGTGTGTGTGTGTGTGTGTGTGTGTGTGTGTGTGTGTGTGTGTGTGTCAATTCAAAGCAAAGTACCTATTCCAAAGCCAAGTGTTGTAAGGGGAATCATAAAGTACGCTAGGTGATTGGCTAGAGGTAACTGAGAATGATGGTGAGGACGACGGCGTGATGATTATGGTGATCAAGATGTCAAAATGATGGTGAAGATGACGAAATGATGATGATGATGATGACGAAGACGATGATGACGACGATGATGAGGAGGATACAAAATGATGATTGTGGTGGTGAGGATGAGAAAATGATGCAGAAGCTGACGAGAAGATGCTGATGACGAGATGAAGATGATAAAATGGCTGCAAAGATGACGAAATGATGCTGATGACGACGACAACGATGATGATGAAGATGATGTTGATGACGATGGTGATGGCGATGAAGGTAACAAAATGATTGTGGAGATGGAAAAATGATGATGATCATGACAAAATAATGCTGACAATACTTGGGGATATGGCAGTTCATCATTCATCAAACTCACAAAAATCAGAGAAACGCCAATCAGTAAAAAGCCAAGCAGGGCGCTTAACCATCTGTGAGAATTTTAAAAATTGGATTTTTATTTGTTAAAAAAAATAGTATTCCGCGCATTAATTTTGTTGTTATTACATGTAATTCTCATTTATTTTTGTGTATATTAATTTAGATTTTATTTTTTTATTTATTTATTTCCTTTAAAATATTTTCACCCATTTTTCTTTGTTAAAGAGTTAGTTTTCTCAAAAAATTTATCCTTAAAAAACAAGAAAAATTTTCATAAAACCCGAAAAAATTTATAAAATTGTTGATATAACAATTTTCAATAAGTTGATCTGCTTATATGATTGGCTGCTGTTTTTAAAAAGTTTTTCATTTATATAAAAAATGTAAGTTCAAATAACAATACACCAAAATTAAATTGAGAATCTATCATATCATCTTGTAAGAAAAACCATTCCACCAATTCAAATCCATTTTTATCTACCAAATTAAATTATTTCACCAAATTTAGCCGATAAACTACCTTGAATTAACGCTGAGAAAAACTGTTCGAAGCTGTGAGTCTGGAGAAACAATATAATGCAATAGATAAAGAAACTTGAAAACCTCCCAAATTTATAAGCCACTGATCCAAAAACATTGGTCCCAATGAGGTATGTGATACTGCACGGTAGGAAGACAATCCCTTGTTCCCACTTTGATGACTGGATTGTCTGCAACATGTGCAGTGGGAGCGTTGGTTCCAGGCTTGCTATCCCTACACTGCCGAGACAAATCGAAACTGGCAATTTGGTGAAATAATTTAATATGATAAACGAATATCTCGAAATGAAAACTGTTTAAGTGGGTGAGAATTAATGAAAAAGATATTGAAATAGATTTTATTTGGGTGGATGCAAGTGCGACATTTTAAGTTTGGAGGCTCTGGGCAGGCCAAAAGTGGAGAAACTTTTCTTATTTATTTAGTTAGACCGCGGAGAGAAGGTAAACCAATCCTAAATTTGATCATAAGCAAATAATGAAGAGTGTAAAATACAATTCGTTTTGGTTGCAAATGTTTCTTTCGTTGTTTTTTCAACTAACCAGCTGATTGATTCACCAATCATCAATTAACCGACCAATCAACCAACCAACCAATCATTCAATCAGCCAGCCCACCAGCCAATCAATCAGTCAACCAACCAATCAACCAACCAATCAATTAACCAACTAATCAATCAATCAGTCAACCAACCAATCAATCAATCAACCAACCAATCAATCACTCAGCCAACCAATCACCAGTCATTCAACTAACAAACCAGCAGCGATAAGTATATACGGATCGGTCAACAACTCTATCAGTGGACTTCCCTTCTGGTTTTCTTGCTTCAAAGCCGGTTGGATTATGAACAATGCAAAAACTTCAAATAATTTTAGTAATGGTCATAGTTGAAATTATATAATTATGATTATATTTAAATTTATAACGTAATAGAAATTAATTTTTAGTATTTCACCAATGTTTCACACTCATGTTAGATGTTTTTATCATCTTCACTATCAAGGCTACACTATATCACTATATCATATTTTTATTTTTTTTCTTCATCATCTTCACCATCATCATCATCTTTATATAATTTTTTCCCCATCAACACATCATCATCTTCATCATTTTTCCCCATCATCATCATCTTCATCATCGTCGTCGTCCTCCTCACCTCCAACCACCAGAGCCACCCCAGCCAACACAAAAAACGGAGCTTCTTTGCCAAAAAATTCGTACATCAGACCACCGTAGGTCGGCCCAACTGAATTGAGTGGATGAGTAAAAATGCGGTTAAAAATGTTTAAAAGGTCAAAAGGTCAATTACACTTTTACAAAGTTCAGAGGATTGAACAACACGCTACAAACATCATATATGATAATAATAATAATAATAATAAATTTGTCAAAAAAAATTTTTTATTAAAATATATAATGACGAAAATAAAGATTCGGGACAAAGTCTTAAGAGTCGAGCCTGCTCAATGTAAATGTTTCTTCAGTTTACTGCAACTCAGTGACGATGTATTTTTATTTATTTGCATTATTATTTACGTTGTTTTATTATTTATATTGTTAATGTAACTAGCGCTACCAATGGTGGTAAGAGTAGAAGCAATAGTAGTAGCGATTGCAGCTGCAGTAGTAGCAGTAGTAGTAACCGTGGTAATGTATCAGTTCTGTTACTTTTATTACTAATACTACAGCTACTAACATTGTCGTCATTATTGTTGTTATCGTCACATCGATCGTCATCATCTACGAATTCATCACAATCTCACTTGATACTCCGAATGCTATTCCCCCTAGGGCAATCCCCATGGCATGCCCCCTCTCTTCCTCACCGGTGTACAGACTCGCCAGCATGCCCATGCCTTGTTACGATTGCAGTGATGATGACGACGATGATGACGATTATGATGATGATAATGAGGATGATGATGATGATGATGATGATGAAGAAGATGATGATAACGATGTTGACGTTGGTGATGACAATGTTGACAATGGCAGCGATCAAATGTTGATGGTATAAATTATGATATGATCGATATCTTTAATATATACAAGATAAAACAAAGATTCTGTAGAAACAAAAAATTACTATATAATTAAATAAAGTGTTTATTCTACACGTTCGTTCAATGTTAGTTTAACTTTAACTTCACGTTTACCAATGTTCACCCAATGTTTACCCAATGTTCACCCAATGTTTACCCAATGTTCACCCAATATTCGTACTTGAGACAGATGAACAAGACGATCCGAAACCTTGCACAGACCTGGCAACCAACAAGACCCAGTAAGTTCTTCCTAGGGCAAATGCTGTTTGTTGATACGCATAATGAGATGTGATGTGACGTGATGTGATGTGTCTTTTTTTATATAAAATAATGAATGACGTCATTTAGATTTTCATCATTACGTCATTTCAATAAAAAAATGATGATGGTGAGGATGACAATAACAATAATAATAATACTAACAATAATAATAGTAGTAAAATTTAAGATATTGTTTGGTGCAGTAAGGCATGGTAGTAGTTACAGTACGATTTAATCATTCCCCATTACAAACGAATTAACTCACTCATTGTGGAGATGAACATGATCACAAAACCGGTGATGAGCGGTAGGCTGTAACCGATTCTATTCGTAATCGGACCGACAATCGGATTCGAGATGAACTGGACTAACGATTTCGAAGCGAACAGCAAACCAATCGCGACGCTTTCGTCATTATAGCTTGAAGATGATGACGACGACGACGATGGTGGTGATGACGTTGGTGTTGATAATGGGGGTGTGGTATTTAATGATGATGACGAAGATGGCCACAACGACGATGACGTAGATGATGACGACGAATTCAGTAACGGTGGCATAGATGGTGTTGTCGTGTTTTCCCCTTGCAACTCACTTCGCTCAATTTCGAGAAGAAAGTTTGGAAGAATGGGAACTGAAAATTCAATTTTTCAAATTTTCAAAATTTCAGTGATCCTTTTAAAAGTTATTATCTCAAAAATACCCCTACAAAAACTCAATAAATGTAATCCATATTCTTATTAAGAAAATTATGAAATAAAAATAATTAAAAGATAGTTGTTACAAAACAACAACAGCCAGCCAACTAACCGACAACAGTAACGAGTGTGTTGTCAATCAGGAGAGCCATGGCTGTTATGCAGAGAACCAACTTTCTGGACCTCCTCCACTCTTTCAGTTTCGTCCCCATGTTAAGGCAGAAGTTTGATGGCGCCATTGCGTGTAAGTGGGTGTGTAGGTAGGTAGGAAGGTGTGTTCGTAAGTTTATTCTTTCGTTCGTTCTTTCTTTCGTTTGTTTGTATATATGTAGGTGTAGTATTAACTGTAGTATTAACTGATTGATGCTACTAAAGCAATAATTTATTTTCCTCACTCAATAGTTCGAATAATCTTTAATGGGAAATTTCGTTTTTATACTCCAGACACGTATTCCAAGCTTCATCGTGACATCTATTTTTAAAATGGCCTGATGCTTTACACACTTATACATACATACATACACACGCGCGCGCGCGCACACACACACACACACAGAAATACATATAAAAACTACTTAAGTTTAATTAAACACTTCAAAGTTTTTATAAAACTGATGTCGTTATTAATAAGCTATTCAAATGTTTCAAAACATCTAAATTAAAAAACATTAAATTAAACATGTACAGATTCGCATTTTTGAACTTTACAACCATTGATGGATACAAATTTCTCTCTCTTCTCTCGCGTTCTCATTATTTCCAATATATCTATTCTATAATGTTCTGCTCATCGTCAGTTTGTCATGAAGGATTTTTTTCAAGTGAGATATCGTGCCCAGCAGCCACATACATCATATTACTTAATCTCATATAAGCGAGTATATACAATATACATATACAATATATAATATACAATCGAGTAAAGAAACATACAATCTGGTAATGGAAATCCGGGTTTTTCATAGATAGTAACTTGAAACGACCGAATAGTTATCAATACGTTTTACTGAAAACGCGCTTAAGTTAATTCTTGTTTCGTAAATAAGGCTGGTTGTTTAATACTAGATTTGTGTAGTAATTGATCTCTAGAACGTGAAAATGTATAATTTTTTAATAGAAATCCCGAAGTTTTTATATTATCAAATCACTCAAACAGTTGACATCGAAAGTACTTAGTAATTTTAGTATACAAAATATTGTTGTGACGGGATTTACTTCTGACAAGAGAAACACAACGATGATAAATATTTTCTTCAACAAATTTATTTTTTTAAATAAATTTCCATCAGAATATTTCGGTCATCAACAAGCAAGAGCCATCATTATGAATAATACAAAAGATAGATAGCAGACAACTTCGGCACAAGTTAATTTATGCAGTTTTCTTGAGGCTGGCCTGTGCTTTCAACACTTTCATTACTATCTTCTGTTCTTCTATTAAGAAAGCCCGGATGATCCTACAATGAATATAATAAGTTAATGTTACAAATCCATTATATACAATACAAAAAAAAACAAGATAATTGATCAGTTTGAAAACTAATTTCTACATGAAATCGACTATCTCAATAATTATAGAATTATTAATTATAGAATGATTTATATACAACAAAGCAGGACACTTCAAGTTAAAGAACATACAGATCAAAAAAGGTCAAATACAAATCTACCTTGATAAAATTTAATAAAAATAGAATTAGCAAAACTAATAAGCCTAAATAAACTTAAATTAGGGAAGGTAAATGGTCATTTGAATAAAATTTAGTATAAAAAAATGTCAAAATGTTGGCCAAACCTTGATCTGACACATTTGTGGCATCGAGATCCTCCATAAGCTCTGTTCACCGTCTTGTAACGTCTTGACAGGCGTGGTCTATCACATGGTCTGGTGGGGGTTATCTGCATTTCGATGAGATGAAATTGTAATTATTGTACGTAAGATAAAATACAAAACTAGTAATGCATCAATCAAATCAGTTAATCTCCAGGTAGCACCTTCCATTTCACAAAGCTCATGTTTAAATTTAAAAATAAAATGACAACTGCAACTTATTCAATTAATATTTTTTAAACATCAAAATTACATTATGTGAAAACTAGAAATTCTTGCAAAGGCTAATTTTTAATTTGAACAAACAAAGCAATCAATGAAAAATGAACTCACTCCAGACAATTTAATTTTGCAATCTCCACATTTGGGGACTGATCCTAACTTCTTCTTGTATTGGTACACCAATCTTCCGCCTGGAGTCTTCACACTGAAAATAAAGCATACAACATATATCAAACAATCAATAATTTCAATACTCAATCTCAATATGAAAAATTCTCATGTTATAAAAAGATAAAACTAATTTTCAATACTCAGTGCAAAAATTACACAGAAACCGATGTATAAAACAAAATGGTTTGTTTAAAACTTTTCGATATTAGAAATTTGACAAATTCATAATAATCAAACGTCAAATATTTAATTTTTTAATAAATTAATAATTAATTATTTGGGCAACTCAATAAAAAATTGTTCTGAGCAAATTTATAACCATATTTAAGTTTAAACTTTGCAAGAGCTAAAAGTACATGAAAGTAGAATTGTAAATTGGAGTAAAATTTGGTTAATGAATAAAGTATGAATAAAGTATTAATAAAGTATTTAAAAAAGGAGTGAATAGACTAACATTCTTCGGCGGTTGGAGTTGGTGTTGTACGGCAGACGCCTTCGGAGTGTGAGTCGTTGAGCCATGAATAATCTACTAAAATAGAATTCATTTCATTATAAAACATTTTTATATTTTCAAACATTTGCAAAGATTAATAAAGATCGAAAAATGTTTAAAACGATAATAAGCACCTTCCAATCGCACGAACAGGAAAAGAAAGACATGTAAACAAAAGAATGTACGAAAGTTGAATATGACAAAAGATTGTTTAGCGCGTTACTTTTCAAATGAATTTTTGACAAACTGTTTATGACAAATCGGTGAATCTCTGAATAGTCTCACGCAACTTTTTCAAAGTAGAAAATGTAATTGTAATCAACTGCTTCTGTTAGGTCAAACAACAAGTGAGTGGCTAGGTTTGAATTACTAGCCACAGATGAATAGCAAAAGAAGCTTGCATACAAAGACGCATTCCACATGTCAAAACAGATATTTGATTGCCAAATTTCAACTGTTAACCTTTGGGACTATTATAACATCATTTTCAGAATAAATGAAATGCACAATCGTATAAAACTGTAAAAGTTTTTCAGCCATATTGCAAACCAAGCCCAAATACATAAGTATCTAGACTAGAGAAGACCCAAGCAGAGAAGATTTTTCTAAACTGCAACCGCCCACATCCGCACTGCTCATTATCCGCACCCGCGAAAATGACGTACACATATGCAAACAAACGCATAAACAAAATTTTTTAATCTGAAAATTTTTTTAAATTTAATTCTGCGGGTGGTTTTTTAAATAACGCACTTGAAACCGCGTCAAACTGCACAAACAAAATCCGCAGAATTTTGCGGTGTAGTAACCGCGGTTTGAAACCGCATTGCGGTTATCCACTTGGGGCTCTAATCTAAACCAAATTCAAGTTTTCATAAAAATTTTTAGTCACGCTGCGAATTTATACTTGCCATATAGTAGTAATAAGTAGACACGAAGTTTGACGTAGTTAATTAATTGCGCCACACAAAATATTATTATTACTATTTACAGATAATGTAATATACACATTATGCACATAAAACAAATACACAAATACAAAATTAAAATAAAATTTTCAACAGAATTATAAAATTATTGTCTAAAATTTTTTAAGTTAAATTGTCGTGCTACTTTTTCGTAACTTTCTAAATCGCGCGAAGAAACGGAAGGTCGAATTTGAGAAAGAGCATTTTCAAAATCTTTTGATGTCACGATGATTTCGACAACGTTGTCAGAATAATTTGACTTCCAGGCAGACATCGTCGCCAAATCTACCAATTCAGAAAGATCAGCCCCAGTCAGTCCATTGCATCTATCATCATTTGCTACGACTTCCAAACTAACATCACCCGCCATTTTTGGTATTGTTCCATTTTTTGTAAGGCTCCGCAGAATCTCCAGCCTGCCTTCAGCTGACGGGAGACCAACGTAAAGAAGGTTGCCAAAACGGTTACCCCTTAAAAAGGCAGGATCAACACAATCAAGTCGATTAGTTGCACCCATCACGAACACACCATCTCTATTTTCCACACCATCCAACACAGTCAGCAGTTGTTGCACCACTTTCGTTCCACCACCATGAGCATGAAAACTTCTGCGCTCACTGATTGAATCAATTTCATCAAAAAATATTAAACAGGGTGAGCATTCTTTTGCTCTTTGAAACAAGGACCTTATGTTTCTCTCACTTTCTCCGACAAATTTGTCAATTAACTCTGGACCTTTCACTGATAAAAAGTTTATGGAAGCTTCATTGGCTAGAGCCTTGGCCACCAACGTCTTGCCACATCCAGGAGGACCAAACAGCATCACACCTTTTGGCTTCGATGGTCCACATTTTGCCATCAAAACAGGATTTTTGATGCGATTTAAAATTGACCAAACCAATTCTTCTCTGATGGTTTGAAGCGCACCAATGTCTTTCCACGTGACTTCTGGGATAGAGATTGTGTCTTCTACCATCGTCGTTGGTTTCACAATACATAGTGCTTCTTCAAAATCATACAAATCAACCGAGAATGACTGATTTGAACAACTTTTTTGCCTATGCAATGATTGTAGAATCGCTTTTTTCACTAATTTTCTCAAATCTCGGCATGAATATGAAGGTGTTTTGAAACTTAGAGTTTTAAAATCTTCATCACTTAAGTTAAAGTTGTAAACACCATTACAATGATAATCTGTTGCAACAAACTCTTTAGAGCCTTCAGCATCAGCTAAACAATTTTCTCCTTGTTTGAAAATTTCAACAAAAATTTTTAAAAGTTGTGTCCTGTTCGAAGCATCAGGCAGACTAACGTGGTAGTCATCGTCAAATCTATCATCACGCAGCAAGTCTGAATCAACATTTTCACGTTTCCCAGCCAATCCTATCAACCAAACCCTGTGTTTTGAATGATTCAATCTATCAATATTTATTAATAAATTATTTAGAACTGGCTTGTCCATATTCGAAGAAGCAGTTTCATTTTTGCAATCAATTAGATCTATGTCGTCGATTAATATGAGGCAAGGCTGCAATGAGATAGCTTGATCGAACAACTTTTGAACATTTTCACTCTTCTCACTAGCAACACCCACCATCAACTGCCTACCAGATGCAAGCACCAATGGCAGATCAAGTTCGGCGGCAATGCACCTGGCCAGTGTATTCTTCCCACAACCATTCGGACCAGATATGAGAATTCCTCTGGAGCACATGTTCAGTCTCTTCAGCTTGAATGGCAACAATGTAACTTTTAATTTATCAATGATGTCATTCATTCCTACAAGATCGCCAAATTTTTCGTTTGCTTTTAAAATTTCATAAGAAGCATATTTGGCTTCACTTTTTATGCCCTTATTAATTTTTCTCTTCTTTTGTTTCTCGTCTTGTTTCTCGTCTTGTTTATCATTATGTGAGTTATTAATAATCTTAACTGGCAGTGCATCATCACCTTTTAACAATTTAGGTGTGGAACAATTCAAATGGTTTTCAACCAATGTAGTTGCTCTACTACTAATGATGCCTATAGCCCTTCCAGAGTCATCTACAATTTCATCATCACCCATGACATTATTAGAACTTAGAGGAGGCTGATCAGATTTTTTGAAGTTGTCAGTTATCAAATCATTCAAATTGCTGAAGGAATGAGGTTTTTTAGTAAACTCTGATTCAATGTGATGGACAGTTTCAGAAATGCTCTCTTCATCAGTGTATCTCTCCAGGTTTGCTTTTTTAACATATTCTTTAAAAATTCTTGCAACAGCTATCTGGAAAGGTACTTTTGGTTTTCTGGCATAATCCCTGTAGTATTTCACTTTCAACTCATCTGCAATGTATCCAGCACTGATTCTCTGCAGTGGAACATCTGAGTTTCTCACAAACTCTACAACTCTCTTGTTCAACTTGCTATCATTCATCTGCAAAAACACATTGATTGATGAAATGAATAAGCATTAAGTCTAAGAAAATTGATATTAATTATTAAAAAAAAATCAGTCATACGAAATTGAAATGTTGATGCCATAAGAATAGATGCAAGTAAGTTAGTAGTATAGTTAGAGATAAACTAATATATATAGCCATCAGGTATAGAAATTTTAAAATAACACATTCAGCAAAAGTTAAAAAAATAAATTTCTTTTTATTTTCAAGTCTTAAGACGAGAGAGAAACCTTTTTAAAAAATTTAAGCAATTTCAACTAGCATTTCAACTTTTTATTTTCAAGTCTTGAGTCGAGAGAGAAACCTTTTTAAAAAATTTAAGCAATTTCAACTGGCACGAGCGACCCAGTTGAAAACAAAAATAACGATGGAAAAAATATTTTACAGCAACAACTTTTACACTCTACGGAAAGCGATAACGGTTTTAAAAGACTAATGGATCAACTTTAATCATACACATACTCCCATACATCTTAACTGCAGTTATATTGCCTGACTTTAAAGATGAAAACATCATTATTTGAAAATTGTTTTCTAAAAATGTTATTTAAATCCAATTTACGACAAAATTATTTGTTCATCATACAGGATCAGTCAATAATGCCAAACTTTATTTGACATCACAATTTCTATAGATCCATACAAAATACCGCATGTATTTATCGTTTGCTCGAAATAAATGAAATTTCACAAACAAAATTTTCAACTGTATGTAAGTTATTAGCCTGTGCAAAAATCGCTAACATAACCACAAATTTCTATGGAAAAACCACCCACAACTATACATACTATCCCCACAAAACTGCAAGAAAAAACTGACACACCGTAGTCTATTTTAAATCGGTTTATTGACCTCAAAAAAAGTTTAATTACTCGTCCCTTAAAATAAAGAAAAACTAAATTTACTGATTAATTTTATTGTACAAATGTATGTACGCACATACGTCAGAGTACACAAACATATATACACATAACTTACATACAAATACACACACATAAAAACACACATACAAATAAAAATATTATAGAAATGTGGTGTCATTGGTGGGTATATGCAGGATAATGAAAATAAAACCAGATATGAGCGGTGACTAAGTAGATTGATTAATAATGGTTTTATAATAATAATAATAATAAATAAATAAAAACTATTATAGGTAAAATTTTAAAAATCGTATTATATTTTTTTTGCATGTAATGTTAACTTTACAATTACGACTACGGCGGGGTGAATAAAGGAGTTATCTAAGAGAGTTAACGCGAAAAATATGAAAGTGAATCATTTTACTGCAACCAACAATCCACATGTATAGAATTTGCTTTAAAAAAATCTAATCTCATTATCTCAGTTTCGTATTTCCTACCTCTTAAATACTCAAGTTATTTGTAGTTAAAAATTACCTATTAATAATAATAATAATAAAATTTAATAATTAATCAAAAATAATAATTAAAAAATGACACATTAACATTAACTTGACAGTGAAATAAAATACATTTAAATCGTGCAAACCCTCAAATAATTAATTTCTTTTTCCTTTCAATTCACATTAAATTTTAAAAAAATTAGCATATTTCCACAAAAAATGCACACACAGTAGGTATAAACACACTAAATTGAGATACACATCAGCATACGAATCAACAATACGCAAAAGCCAGGCATCAATCATTAAGAGCATGTATTAGGCATTGCTAAGAAAGGAGTGAAAGATTTAGATCCAATTTAGTGGGGTAAGTTCTAAGTGTCAAACAAATTTTACTAAAGTTGAGCAGTTTTACTGAATTTAAGTAATCTGTGCGAAGTCAACGTGATAAAGATAAGTAGGATAACTGTGGATCAAAAGAGTCTGAGCTCTGATTCTGAAGTAGTTATTGGAATGTTGACCAGTTTTTCTTAAAAGTACAGTATCTCGAAGAAATATGTAGAAAAATTTAGATACTAGGGATATAACTTTGCGAGTAATATCATTGGAATATCTTGATGTAGAAAGTATCTTAAATTGTTACAACGATATTAGGTGATTGCATAAAATGATGGACATAAACAGGTGAAAATGATATCATCTCTATATCACAACAATCACGAAATATAATGATATATATGTAATAGATGCTTCATAGGTTGAATCACCAATGTATCAACATAGATGTTGTGATCCTATGAAATATCCCTTATCACGTGTATATCATATCATTATATCAATATCATCATAAGATAATTACTCAATATTATATCATGATATCACCAAATCGATGATTGATAATGAAGAATTTTTTCCGTGAAAAGTACTAGAAAGCCAAATTTATAAACGTCCTTTCAGTTCATTAAAATATAAGAACAAGTTGGGATAGTATATCAAGATATATACTTTACAAATATAACAAGAGGCAATTCAAAATATATCACTAAGATATGATAGAAACACGTGGTAGAACAAGATAAATTAGATTATGCGACAAAATCGTTAGTTATAACGAAACTTCGAAATGGATAAAACGAGAAACTTCTGCATTAGTAAATAATTGTAGCGCCTCAAGAAAAATATTTTTCAAAAGCATTACATAACGGGACATGTAATGAACATAACGAAATATATACCGAAACGAAGTTTCATAATGTACCATCCATCATCATCATTCAAGCCTATTTATTGATACGAAATAGTAGTAGAAATATAGTTTGAAATATTCAAAAAGCATCAGACTTAGCAAAGGTTAAACAATAAAGACAGGTCACAATCAGAACCGTCATTTTTTCAAAGTGTGGAAGATATCTATGAAAACAAACACACGCAACTAAAAAATTTTCTTAAAAACTCACGTACTGTAATTTTCTTCAAAAAACTCACGTACTGTGCTAAGGAGAGCGCGCAGAGAGTATGAGAAATATTGATATCTTAAAATTTATAAAATTTATTTAAGACTATCAGCCAAGGACAGATACTTATGAAAAATTGTAAAAAAAAGTCTAATTAAGTGTACCGAAAACAGTCGATGGTACAGTAAATAACACTTTCACGTCAGAGCTTTCCAAAAATGTTTAACGTTGAACTATGCACGAAGGATGGAAAAATGGGAAAATTAAAAAAGATGTTTTTGTCTGTGGTTGGTAGTAGTGAATCGTGTAAAAAATCAAGACATACACAAATACAAACATACGCATAGACATACATATACGCATAAACAAACAAAAAAATATCGAAACAAATTTAACCCTTCATACAAGTTGATATACACATACACAAGTGTTATTTAAAAGACATCTACACACATACCACAGGTACAATCATCGCTCACACACACACGCACAAAAAACAAATCTATTGCTATATAATAAAAATTGACCAGTAAAATAACCTCCCTATAACATTACAATTATTATTATTGTGTTTTACTATAAACTTTTATATAATGCACACACACACACACACACATATATATATATATATAAAGTCTCAACCCAATATATATCTATATATATCTATATATATATATATATATAAAAGAAATAGTGAGCCAACTTGAATCCACAAGTACGTGATGGATCCATTATTTCACGTCCGTGAAGTACTTGAAATAAAGGATGAGTATTTCCGACCTGCTCCTGCAAGTACGGTTGGCCAGTACGAGTACATAAAGTACACCATCTCTCACCACGAACAAAGGTGCATTACTGTGAACAACTAACTCGTTCGACGAGGAAATTTTCACCCTTTATATACTCATGTACTTGTGGATATAAGTCGACTCACTATTTTCTTTATCCGGCAGATTAACAGTACGTCTCCATCTACCAAAATGTGTTTCCATTAATTAATTACAAGCACCTTAGTTTACAATGTCTACGGAGATAGTAATTGCACTAAACTGATGTTTAAACTCGAACTACTGATGGGTACCATAAGGGACGAAACGCGTCTAGACTAGAACGTCTAGGCGTTCACAGTAATGCACCGTTGGTTGTGGTGAGAGATAGTGTACTTTAAGTACTCACACTGGCCAACCGTACCTATGGCAACAGGTCAGAAATTCTCACCCTATATATATATATATGTATGTATGTGTGTAGGGTGACAATATATATATATATATATATTCTGGCGTGTTAATGTTAATGTTACTGTTACCAAAATATATATATATATATATATATATATATATATATATATATATTGTAAAGGCTGGAAGACCATAATTTATGAAATATTTGATAAAATCTACCGAATTTTTAGCTAAAAATTCGGTAAATTTTATCACACACACACACATATATATATATGTGTATTATTAATAATTTATATCGCTTCAGGGATGCTTTGATAAGCAATGACTTTTGACACGTTTCCGTAGGCCTGGATAAAGAAAAAGTTCTTTAATAGTTTCCTAAAAAGTTTTATGGCTGGTCGCTGACGAATAATGGCGGCCAAACCATTCCATATGGAAGGAGAGCTGTACGTAAAACATTTGTTGACAACTGATGAATATATGTATATATACATACATACATATATATATATATATATTCTATAAAAGTTTGTCTTTTCGATTTTCCTTACTAGAATTTTCTGGAGATTGTTCAATTTATATATATATATATATATGTATATATATATACATATATATATATGTATATATATATACATATATATATATATATGTATATATATATACATATATATATATATATATATATATATATATATATATATATATATATATGATGTTTGAATACGTAAGCATGTACATACACGTATACAATTAGTGACATGTAATGTAATAATAATAAATTTCTTTTTTAAAAACTGTTCTAGAGTAAGCATAAAACCAGATCAAACAAAACCAACGACAATAAAAATAAAAATATCAGTTAGTCGTCGCTAGTTCCAATGACCACTATAATAATAATAATTACAAAAATTGAAATAATAGCAATAACAACAATAATAATAACGACAAAATAAAATAATAAAAACCATAAATAATTATAATGTTGAGAATACTATCACTAACACATCGCTACATTTAAATTTAATTTTAAAAAAATAATAAACAATAGAGCATTCGTAATACTAGAGTAATAATAATAACAATAATAATGATGATTAAGAGAAGTTTAAACTCTCCATCCAATCAACCGTTAATTTATAGGAGTTTTAAGTTTCCTCAATAAAAAAACTGAATAATAAGTGTGGAAGAAAATGCTTAACAAACGAAATCAGCTACGTCATTTCTTTTTTTGAATTAAAAAGTAATGATAAATTTGAAGGAATTGAAATTATTAATTCATTTCACGTAAAATAAATAAAAATAAACTCACTCACTCAATCAATCAATCAATCAATCAATCAATCAATCAATCAATCAATCAACCAATCAAATTTAGTTAATTAATTAATTTAATTAATTAGTTGATTGATTGATTGACTGTTTATTTAGCTGATCGTTCGAATGGTTGATTGGTAGGTTGACTGGTAGATTTAATTGACTCTCTGACCATTGACAGTTTTTGACTTCAGTTTTCCATTTTCTTCTACTGTAACTGTTTCTACTCCATTCTCAACCACTCTGTCGTTAGGTAGTTATGTATGTATGTGTGTATGTATGTAACTATGAATGTAGGTAAATATGTATGCATTTGTGTATGTATGTGTGTATGTATATATGTGCTATTAAATAATATAAAATTATATAGTTGGAATCAATCAACAAACAAACGAACCAAATAATCAGCCAGCCAATCATCAACCAGCCAACCAATCAAACGATCAGCCAGCAGCCAATCAGTTAACTTACTTCTTAGTAACAATTGTTTTCCCATTGACAATCCTAGTTGAAGTGGACACAGAACTCATTGACCCTGACCTTAGACCCGATGACGACCCCATCATCTGGAGGCCACTGCAACATCCAAAAATACAATCGAAAAACTTTTTCATATTTAATTTACAGTTCGTTCAATTAATAATTTCCCATGAAAAAGTAATCGCAATCAAGATTGAAAAAGTGAAAAAAACGAGAAAGAGCGCAATAGAGAAAGAGAGAGAGAGAAAAAGAGAGAGAGAAAAAAAGAGAGAGAAGGAAAGCAACAAATGGTTAAAAAAAAAACAAAAACTAATTCAAGAAATCCAAGGATTAAATTAAATAGAAGCCCTTGTAAGTCAGAAAGAGAGAGAGAGAAAGAGAAAGAGAGAGAGAGAGAGAGAGAGAGAGAGAGAGAGAGAGAGAAAGACAAAGAGAGACAAAGGCAAAGAAACAGACGACACCATCATTGGAAAAACAATTGATAAAAGACGAACAAAACAAAACAGCAAACCCAAATCCAGGAAAGCCAGAGAATAAAGAGAAGGACTCAAATGGATCGTTCATGCTGCGAACCATCTGTTGTCGGGCATAGGGTTGTTGTCTGTTGTTGCTCCTGTTGCTTACTTGTTGCTGCTGCTGTTGTTGCTGCTGCTGTTGCTGCTGCGACTGGTGGTGGTGATGGTGATGCCTGTTTCTTGGTCTCGAGCTGTTGTTAGAGGTGTGGTTGTTCTTGTTAAATAATTTAGTATGACACATCTAAATAAAATTTGAGTTGATTCTAATTTTTGACAAACAATTTCAATCTAATGTAGAGTTATTCAACTGGATTAAGAAAATGAATTGCTAGCCACTCCTCTCTCTCTCTCTCTCACACACACACACATATAAATATATATATATGGATATATGTATGTATGTATATATATATATATATATATATATATATATATATATATATATATATATAATCACAAGCCAGTAAACACATATTCAGAAAACAATTTTCAACATTTAAATCTCAATAAATAATTGAAAAACTATATTAAAAAATACAAACAAGCACAAAAACGAACCATTATACACATACAAATACATGCGTACATAAGCACACATACATAGCTGTCTACATTAACACACACACACACACACACAAAGAGAAACTGAGACATACACGCCCGCACGCACGCACACACACACACAAGCACATGCACACCTACATGCATTCATTCATTTAGTAAAACTCATCTACATACTTACATATAAACTCTACATGCAAAATAATCTACGTCGCATCCAAGCAAATACCAAGCAATGCAATTTCATTCATGTGTTTATAACATTTATGTGTAAAATTTGTACACCCAGTAGTATTAATGAATGAACAAATCATTAAATTAGCAAACAAACCAACAAATCAACCAGCCAATCAATCAATAATCCTGTTAGCCAACAAACCAATCCATCAATCAACCAAAAAAATCAATAAATCATCCAATTAGCCAACAAACCAATCCATCAACCAACCAATCAATAAATCATCCAATTAGCTAAAAAACCAACAACAAACCAATCAATCAACCAATCATCCAATTAGCTAACAAACCAACAAATCAATCGATCAATCAGCCAGCCAACCAACCAATCACAGCCTTACTGACTTGTTCTGAATAGCTGATAGGTTGTTGAGGGGGATGATAGGGCCACCAAGCATTGACGAAAAGGGGTCAAAACCAAACGGGTCAGCCGCTGAGAAGATACTTCCTCTGAGACCTGGGAAGGCTGCCATGATGATGATGATGATTATGATGATGAAAATGATGATGATTCTGCAATATATATACAATAAAATAAAATGAAAATGATGTTGTTGATGATGATCATACATACACATGACCACGATGATGATAAGAATCAATTAAAATATAATTATTAATCATTGTGTGTGTTCTGGTTGAGTAGTAATAGTATGTGTGAATGTTTGTATACATTTTGTGTGTATTCGTATGTGGGCAATTGTGCATGTATCTATACTTGTACATTTTTGTATTTGCATGTTTGGATTTGATGTATATATATATATATATACACACACACACACACACATATATATATATATATATATATATATATATATATATATATATATATATATATATGTGTGTGTGTGTGTGTGTGTGTGTGTGTCTTCAATTCTTTACAATCATACAATTTTTTAAAAATAGGTATGTCTTCAATTCTTTACAATTATACCATTCATTACATATATGCATGCATATCTGTGTATGCATTCTGTTCTGTGCTGAATGATAGCAGGCATAAACATGTATGAATGATTCTACTTAATGATGTATAGGCACTGAGATGAACAACACTGAAATATGAATATAGGTAAATTTGTGTGTATTTCAATTGCTGACCTATATGTCTTAGCATTGTATGTATGTATGCATGCATGTATGTATGAATGAATGTGTATGTATGTATGTATGCATGTATGTAACCCAAACAAATACACATAGAAAAGTAACAAGTCATCACCATCATCATCGTCGTCATCATCATAATCATTATTATTATTACATTATTATTATTATTAATTATTATCATTATTATCAACACCAAAACAGAATAGCAAAACAAAGAACTACAAACATGGTGTAAAGAAATCTACAAAGGGATCCATGGATTCAAAAACTTCCCTGAAAACATCGAACGGATCTCTGAATGTAAAGTGGTTGAAGTGAGCCCTCGCGTTCAACACATCCTCGAAATCATTTTTGTTGAACCTATGCTGACGAGTCGATGACGATGACTGAGCTTGGCCATTAGTTAGACCATTCTTGCCATATTTGTTGTAGATCTCTCGTTTCTCCTCTGGTTAAAAATTGAATAGTTGTTACAATCATTCACACAGACAACAGACTAAATGTTAGAATAAAACAGCCAACTTAATGTTTTTTTTAATTTACATTGGTTTGAGAACTGATTTGAACTTTTTTATTCAAAGCAATTTAATCAGGGTTGAACATTTTCTTCATTACTCTGAATCAATTTTTATTACCCTCTTTTTCTACTTTTGAAAGTAAATACAAAACTCTCAACTACCACTGGGTTTTTCTTATTCTCTCTCTCAGTTTCTCTTTCTCTCTCTCCATCTTTCTTTCTTCTGTCTCATTCTCTTCTCTATCTCTCTTCAATTTGTTTGCTTTAATCAGAATCAACCAGCATTAGAGGCTATTTAAGAAGGTAAGCAAATGAAATGAAAAGTAGTAGTTATGTGGTCGTTCGGTGCAAAGTCAGGGCAGCGTGCCTTCCTTCAAATAGTTTGAAATGAATAAAAAAAAATTAAACGCAAATAAAGAATTCCAATACAGAGACAAAAAACAAACAAAGAACATAAAATTATTAACAACAATACAATTAAGTAATTACAATACCTACAATCCTAGAGAATGTACAAAGCCAACAGAAAAGCACCACTCATAAACTGTACAAAAAGTAAATATTAACACATTTAAAAAGCAAACACAGCAGACATTCTGAATGCAGAAGAAAAAAATCACAATGAACTAACAAGCCTACAATAGAAAGCAATAAAACCCCCATCTTATACACTGCAATTCCTGCAAACATACATGTATACCAACATACATACTTATGCACACACATACACATACACGCACACACATACACACACAAACAAACAAACAAACCAAACATTAGAACACATTACAAGCAGACAAAACCAAATGCCAAAAGTACATTGAAGTAAAAAATAAATAATATCACCACCACTGTACATTATTAAAAATATGAAAAAAATAGAATTCCCAATGTAAACACTGAGTTCATGTGACTCAGCACAATAACTAAAGATAATAACATGATGAGGTGTGATGATGAGGTAAACATCACAGGAATCAAATCACCATATGATTATATAACCAAAGGAAAAATGTTGCAATGTCTCCTTTCATCATTAAATTATTTTTCTCTCAAATGTCTCATCTCAAAAATTGTTCAACTTATAATAAATAAAAATTAAGTGGGAAATATGCAAAGGTCAGAATTTTTTAAAAGAATATTGAAAGAAAAAATAGTGAAACAAAGAATTGTTAGCAATCAAATTTTAATATTAATATGAAAACAATTCAACATAAAAAGTGTGACAGCACATAAGCAAACAGCAAGTTTCTTCTATAAAAAACAAACAGCTATAGCCAAAAAAAACAGCATAAACATCTCAATGCTGAATCATACGATAGATGTTTACTAGAGAAATACACAACCAAATAAAATAAAATACTAAAAAAATTAAGTCTCAGTCGACCAGTCAATAAAAAATAAACTAACTGTCTGAAAGAACTTCATATGCCTCGGATATTTCTTTGAACTTTGCCTCGGCCTCCTCTTTGTTGCCAGGATTCTTGTCCGGATGCCATTTCAAGGCCATTTTTCTATAGCTAAAGTTTTTATATTTTTTTATAGAAAATGAATGAAAAATATAATAAAATCAAAAATGATATTACATTGTAGTCTCAATTGAATATATCAAATAAAATAAACATAACCCATTATTAACTAATTGATTAACATTATTATATATAATTATTTATTCACTTATTTATAAATAACTACAAATATGATATCATGAAATGAAAACAAACAATAATGACAAAAATTTGAAAAAATTTTTAAAAATCACTCACGCTTTCTTAATTTCCCCTTCATTTGCTGTTTGTGCAATTTCTAACACGTTGTAATAATCTAATTCCTGAGAAAAAATAAAAAATTGAATTAAAGCTAAAAACAGTTAAACTGACTAACTGAACTTACGTAAGGCCCACTATGAATTGAGAAAAACTGAAAAAGCAATTGAATAAGCTAACAACACTAACTAAAGAACTAACACCTGATTCAACAAAACAAAACGAACACACAATATGTATGAAGAAGTGGAAATGAATAAAATCTCAATTAATTTTAATTAATTTAATTAAAATTCACCAAAAGCGAACACAATAAATCCCCTAACCATTTTGTTTTGGTGTTAATACTTCTGAAAAAATGAAATTAATTAAAAACAAATTATCAGCGATTTTGCAAAATATAAAGAATATTCTAAAACAAATTGTATTCTGAATCTTTTTTTAGATACAAAGAATTATAAAAACTAAAAATTTATTTAACTTTATTCATTATACCAATTTAGAAAATTTCTTTAATGCAAAAAAAACTCTTCGACGTGCTTTCAATCAATATTATAAAATATTAATTTGTCTATGGATTAGCCATTTTTTTTTGTAACGAGCGTATCCGCTTGGTTGGATGCATGCCTGTTCTCAACGTTTACTACTATGAGTGCTATTTTTGAACCGCCGAAAATTCAAGATAATTTAAATGGATGGGGTCCATGCGATGCTCCCGAACAATTCAAAGATCTACCGTATGCGCCTTTTTCTAAAAGCGATCGTTTAGGCAAGGTTGTCATTCCGGCATATGTTTTTTCCTTCACTAATTTCCACCCATTGTTGTTTTATATAATTTTTAGTTTTTGATTACTTTTTAGGTATCTGATTGGAGCGGCACGACATATCAGGATAGAAGATATACGTGTACGTGAGTTTGCTATTTATAATAGAATTTCTAACTTTTTTTTATTTTGAGACTGAAGTTTGCAGTGAACATTGTAATATTCTGCCCTCTGGCAGCAGCTAAAGATGAATATTTTTACCAAATTAATTTTTTTCTTACTAATATTAATCAAAAGTAACCTTTTTATCTTCCTTTTATCAAGAAAATTTTTTTTATCCACTCTATTCCAGAGGGCATTAAGTTAGTATGACTATTTCCAGTACTCTCATTCAGCATATTGGTTTTCATATTCCTGTTGTTAATAAAAATTTTTGTGGTAAAATAAAATTTTATCATTTAAAAATGAGGAAAGTTTTTTATCATTTTAAGTTAAGATATGGCCAAATTTATACAATTGTTAATGGGAAAAATGGAAATACATAAATTTATGCACTGATTGTGATTGTGACTGGCAGAGGCGGTCAATAAAATAAAAAATTTTGAACATTGACAGTTGACGATTACTAAAACAAATTTAGTTAAATACAGTTCTGTAAAGTTGTAAATCAAGTTTATGTCGAAATATAAAATAACTAATGAATTGATAAATGCTGGATATAACATAAAAATATAATAGCTGTCTGAATTGTTGAGTAATTCAATACTACATTGAGCCATTCAGAGAGTCAATTATGACTTCTTTCAGATAAGTATTCATCTCAGTTTGGTGCTCAGCCCAGTGTATACACGTACTACCATGATGAGGACGAGTCATCTTTCCAACTGGTTGACACAACCAAAGTACAAAAACCTATTTACCAGAGGGGGAAAGTTAGGTTCAATCAGGTAAATGCTGGTCATTACATACATGAATTTGTATATATGTACATGGTCAAGTGTGGGTTATCTGTGTGAGTTTGCAGCCTATTTTTTACTAAAATTGATGTTGACTAAACCCGACGTGATGTTAAAATGAATCCTCTATTGATTAAAAGAACAAATTGAAGAAAGAAAGGGAGAAGAGACAGCAAGCACAGGCCAGTATGCAAGTGCTTTCTAAGACACAGAAGAGTAGAGAACGGTGAGATTATCGTTTCTTGATATTCATTTTTGCATTGGGTGTGCTCATTTTTTTTCATGTGCTTATTTTGAAGTGTCTTAAAATGTGAAGATGTGTACTTTAATTTAGGGTGTATAACATTGAATTGTAGGAATTATTTTTGTTTTCCATCTTCAGCATGTAAGTAGGGAAGTGCATAGATCTTTTGAATAAGTTCAAAAGTGTCTGTGTGATTCTATAAGCTATGCTTGTTAGAAATAACTTTAAAATTAACCTTTTACATCTCTCTAGAGATCGACAGAGACAACTGAGAAAGTGGCAGAAACAATTTGGTAAACAGATGCAGGAACAAATGAAAAAGGTTTGTATATGTGTGTTTGTATGTGTGTGTGAGTGTCTGTGTGAACATTTTACTGCTTGTCTTTGTATTAGCTTGTTTTAGTGTAATAATGATGACATTATATTTCCAAACACTTGTTATGCATGTGATGTGTTGTTGTAAATATTTTTCTCATTGCATTACGAGGGGGAAGCACTTTTCTGCAATAACAGATCACCCACCATTGTTCTGATATTTTCACAAAAGTGCAATAGAATATAATCTCCGAATGATTTCATTTCGTTCATTTGTCATTTCATATGAACAGAACAGTTATTCAGAGTTACATCCATTCTACTAGTATGTGCCTATTGATATATTGTTTTATCAAATTTTTGAATTTGTTTTTAAGCTTGCACACAAGTTACTTATAACTGACTGTACTTTGTTCTTTTCGATTGCTAGTGCTAATATTTTTGTGGACTTTATCACATTCACTCGTACATAGAGGTATATCGGTATGCATTAAATTATTTCCACATGAACAACAAACAGGTTCAGATCAAACACAGAAATGCTTCAGTCCAGGTTAAGGATACATGGGTGGTCATTGAGGAAATGGATTTTCCTAGGTGATTGTTTTTTTTCTCTTTAGGTTCATTCTTATTTTTCTGATGTTGAGAGTTAAAATTAGGAATTCATTGGGCATGGTTTCAGCAATTTTCATTCTATTTGGTGGCCAAATCAAGCATAAAATTATTTGAAATATTTCTTAATTGCTGATAAACATTTGAATCATTGTTACAATGAATCATTTGACTCATACTACCTCTGGTTACTTGCATACAGATTGAGTAAGCTGTCATTGCCAAACATTGCTGAGCCTGTTGATTTGTGAGTTTCAGTTGGTGTTTATATGTGTGTTTATGTGTGTGTGTACATGTGTTTGTTTTTTTTATCATGTTCCTGACAGCGTGTTTTAATGTTTCTAACAACAACAACCTGAATGTATTTATGCATTAGTTGCATTTAACCGTTTAAATATACAGACTGAAATGTGGTTCAGTTGAGTTCTATGACAAGGCCTACGACAGAGTTACGACAAAGAATGAAAAGAAGCTAGCTCGAGTTAACAGAATCTTCCATCGCATCACCACCACAGATGACCCAAACATCAGACAAGTTGGTCTATGTGCCACACCTTGATTGTTTTCTATTGTGGTTGAAGTTGAGTGCCCTAGTGATTTGAATTTGAGTCAAGGTAGGGTGGTTCTGGCAGGTTTTTAATTATAAACATGCTTGGTGAGTTGTTAATGCAGCTTTATGAAAACAAACTGATGTCATTTCTTGCTGCTGAACCAAGAAACGTTTTTTTTTTGGGAAACTTTGTAAATTAATTAATTAATTTGTAGTAGTCATAGTTTACAAAAATTGACTAAGAAATGTATAAATAATGAATGGTTTGAGAAATACACTTTACAATGAACTCTTTAAAGTTAACATTTTTCCAACCTTTTCATTTAGCTATCAAAGAAGACAGGCAATGTGTTTGCAACAGATTCCATCTTGAGTGTGCTGATGTGCTTGTGTCGATCTGTCTACTCCTGGGACATCATCGTCTCTAAGGTCGGCAAGATTCTCTTCTTTGACAAGAGGGATGAATCAGATTTTGGTTAGTTGTCTGGGTATTTTAGTTGGTTGGTTGGTTGGCTGATTGGCTGGTTCATTGACATAGCACTGATATTATGATGTGCTTTGCATTTTTTCTGGATCCATGATTTCACATCATTTACTTACATGAATCTCTTTCCCAGACCTGCCAACAGTTAGTGAGACAGCAACGGAACCTCCGCAAGATGATGGCATGAACTCTCCAAAGAATCTAGCCCTAGAGGCCACCTATATCAACCACAACTTCTCGCAACAAGTCCTCAAGATGGTTGGTAATTAGTTGTTTGTTTGTTTATTTGTTCTTCACTTTTTTGTGATTATTAACTGTACAATGTGGATTTCTTAGTGCTAGCAGTGGATCATTTTAATAGGAAATCTAATTCTTTTTTTGGTTGATTGCATTTTTTATGCTTAGAAAGTATATCATTGGTGAACGTTTGTGTATCATAATGTATCAACTGTATCATTAATGAACATATGTGTATCAACTGTATCATTAGTGTATCATAAAGTATCATACATATAACCTGTCATTCATTTAATAAAATAGCATTTCGAACCTTCTTAGACTTGAAGGAATCTTTCTATGAATTAGATATAAATGAATAATGAAAATCTTAAAAAAAACTGACCACCAAGAAATATCATCCCCACTCTTATAATAGCTATCGCATTATTTCGATGTGTTAGTTTTCGCTGGAGTGGGAAAGTAGAAACCAGTGGCGATGAGAATTCAGACAACGATGATGATACTTTCTATTGTCACAACATCATTCTCAACGCTATACATTCATGCTTCAAATGTTACATTATCTTTCTCCCAATTATTTGATATATATATATATATTTCGTTTATTAATCTTTTCTTTTGATGATAAAACAACTCTGGTGATAATAGCTTTATATACCTGTTAGCAGCATGGATAATATATAGTCAAAAATTGACTGTAAACTTGTTGCTTTTTATATTCACTGAATACATCCTTGGGGAACCGGGACTCTGGACGCAAAACGAAGATTGATTGATTTTATTGATATACTTGCTGAATGCTGTCCATGAGATAAGAGTTATTTGTTATGATGAAAAGATCAAACTGGCTATTGTTGTTCTGTTTGTATTTTTATATATCAAACTATATCTGAAATGCTACTTGAGTAACAAAGCTGTATCCATCCTTTTAATAGCCGACACGTGTACGATTGTTATTCCGCTGTGTTGGCTTTCGCTGGGATGGTAGATTGTATGCTGGTGATTAAAATTTGGAAAGATGATCTTGTTAGCATATCATCGTTTCCCATTCTTACCACCACACATTTTGAACATATTTAATGATATTGTCGTTATCATTATTATTATTTAATGGTTATTGTAATTATTTCCATCACTCATTATTGTTGCAATATTATCTTAATTTTTATCATTTTTTTGTTACCATACTCTGTATCTCACTCTCTCTCTTTCTCTCACTTCATCATAGTACATGCCGTGAATTTCATCATTCCTATCATCAGTGTGTAAACCTTCATGATGTTTGTCATCATCTCCCAGCTTTCATTCCACCGTTTTTATTGTTGTTCATAATCAGGGAGATGAGAGGCATGACTTTGGTGAAGCCAACCCATTTGCTAGACCAGAGGAGCAGAGTGAAATTGCATCTGTTGGCTACAGGTCTGTATGTTTCTACATGTGCGTGTTTGTGTGTGTGTGTGTGTGTGTGTTTATTTGTGTGCGTGCATCTTTAAAAAACACACACAAACAACATTGTAGATATCGAAAATGGGACCTTGGCAATGGCATTGAGTTGGTGTGCAGATGTGAACATGACTGCGCCACCTTTGGACCCAATGGAGAACTTCAGTTCATGAATGTTAAAGCTCTTAATGAGTGGGACTCTAAGGTCAGTTCATTCTGCCTGCCTCTCTTTTTTCTCTCTCTCTTCTTTTCTCTCCTCTCTCTTTTTTGGCTTACTAAACTTTATCTAAAGCAATCACAAAGAGTAAAATATGAAAAAATCAATGGCATAATACAATGATAGGAGTTGCATTTCTGGAACAAACTGAACAACAAACACACATTACACACGCAGACACAGTTGAACAAACACACACACACAGTACTCAGGTGGTGTGGACTGGCGATCGAAACTGGACACTCAGAGGGGGGCAGTCCTTGCAACAGAGCTGAAGAACAACAGCTGCAAACTGGCCAAGTGGACTGTAAGTTCGCTGCTCGCTGGATCTGACCTCATCAAGTTTGGGTTGGTGCAGCTGTTATTGTTTCTGTGTTTTTCATGTGCATCTGTGTTTTTTTTTTCAATTTTTTGATTCTCAAATTTTTATAGCACAAATATGATCTTAACAACTAATGACCTTGACCATCGTGCCAACAAAGTTATGTATCTCGGATTCATCCAAAAGACTCTGGCAAGCACGTCATCCTGGGTACTCAGCACTTCAAGCCGACTGAGTTTGCCCAGCAGATCAACCTCAATATGGACAACAGCTGGGGAATTCTGAGGTGCATCATCGATATCTGCATGAAGCAGAAGGACGGCAAGTACCTACTTATGAAGGATCCCAACAAGGTTCTCTGTCCTCTTTCTCTCTCTATCTATCTCTCTCTTTTTACATTTGCATCTTTAGTATTTCTAATTTTTCTTTTTAGTGTTTCACAATTTCCACTTAAGTTTTTAATAATTCTTTCTCTCTCTCCCTCTTACTTATTGTGTTTCTCAGAAGTAGCGTCAATAATTTGTTGGTTGTTTCAGTACTTCAATTTTTGCACATCATGAATCACAATAATTTTAATAATGGCAATGTTTGTCTATGGAAGAAAAAAAAAAATCTTCACTCCATCAGCCGGTTATCAGACTGTACGACATCCCCAACAACTCGTTCGAGAGTGAGGACGAGAATGACGACGACTCGTCTGATGATTCTGACCAAGATGACGACGGTGATGAGGAGGACGACGACGACGAAGTGCATGACGCCACTGTCGCTGAGGAAGAGGAAGTCGATGAAAGTGAGTGGATGCTGTCTGTTGATGTAACTCTGACTGTGATCGAACTTACTGATTGTGTTGGAGGAGGTGATGTGTGTCTATGTGTGTTTGTGTGTGTGTCTGTGTGAAATAGAGAGAGAGAGAGGTTTTGTGTTATTTTTTATTTAAGGTTGGCCTAATCATGTGATTTTTTTTACTTTCATAGGCATTGTTGAAAGCGTCGTGGTCCAGTGATGAACTAAGAGTGTTATCATCATCACGTCAGATGTCATCTACTCACCTAGGCTATCGTCATCATCACTATTATTATTATTATTTTTTTTTTATTAAGATTTGTGGTTTTGTAGAAATAAACCAAAGAATAATAAAAATAATAACAGTTATTGTTATTTAATTCTTTTTTTTTATTATTTCATTATGTAATCGGCTTCATCATGATTTTGGTGATGGTGATTTTGAAGATGATGGTGGTGATGTTTGCGATGATGGTGAGGACGATAGTGAATTATGAATTAGATCAATTTGGTTTTCGTTCATTTGTTTTTTTTTATTTTTATTTAGATCATTGATTGGTTGAGTTTATTCACGAATGTATTATTAAAAATGATGAAAAAACCTGGTTGGTGGTTGTCATATTTTTAGATGTTTTCAATTTATATAATGGTTGTTCAATGCCAGATGGTAGGACTCTGTACCATTTGTGTGTATGTATGTGTGTGTGTGTTTGTGTGTCCGTTGTAATTTACAATAATTTGTTAAGTTATTATTATTAGATTGCTAATTATCTGTTCTTTTCTTTTGTTAGTAATAAAATTATTTTTTGTTTATGTTGTAATAGTTTCGTGCAAAATTGTTAAAGAAATAAAATGGTATGTCTACTTTGGAGTTAGTACCGGCTTAACTAAATGTCAAATATTTCAGTCTACCTGTCTGAAGCGTTTGCATGCATACCTCATGGTTTATCATGATACACCTACGTAACGGTACCTAGTTGATGTGCGTATCGTCATTATTTTGAGTGGGGTTATACGAGACTATGTTCCAGTTGGTGCAAGTAAGACATCTAATATTTGAAAAGATAGTTGAAATGAGATTGTAATTTTTTAGAAAAACGAGTTGGGATTTAAAAAAAAAAGCTTTCTATCAATTTGTTCATATTCAGCCGGAATTTTATTTCCGAGGCAATTCGCCTGGAAGCGCGTATGTAGGATAAAAAGAGTTTTTATGACTTAATCGTTGGTCGTTTGCTTGTATTGTCATATGTGTTCATTGTTCGCACATTCATTTGTTTGCTGTATCTATAAATATTACATAACCGTAGTTAAATGGGCGTCGTATGGTTAGTTAGGCCTTCGGTGCTGTCATTATCTAGATAACGATATCATTATTTTGATATCTCTTATTATAATTATATTATAAATATGTATCCATCGATGTGTGAATGTTTATTGAACCTGTCACGTTACCGTAGATTGTGGTATATGTTGAACATGTGCGAATTGATGTATGTTTTCTTTGTATATTGGTCGATATTATACATATATTTGATATATCTGTGTGCGTTTGTATGTGTGTGTTTGTACGTGTGCGTTTGTACGTGTGTGTTTGTATGTATGTGTTTGTATGTGTGTGTTTGTATGTATGTGTTTGTATGTGTGTGTTTGTATGTGTGTGTTTGTATGTGTGCCGTGTACGTGTTTATATAGCGTGTGTTTCATTAATTTATTTGTATAGCAATGCAATCAATTTTTATTAATTTACATATTTGTTTATATATTGATTGTTGCAATGTATATTTGATAACACATACCAAAGAGAGAGAGAGAGAGAGAGAGAGATAGACAGACAGAGAAAGAGAGAGAAATGGAGAGGGAGTGAGAGAGAGAGTGAGTGAATGAGAAACTTCATCATCGTGCAACATGTGTTGTTAATCTTATGATGGTACAAAATGTACTAGGGTCATCAGCACACAATCAAACGATACTACAGCCATTTTATAAATAATATCTCCAACAAACACACAACAGAAACAGACGTTCACACAGACGTACACACACAGACACACACTCGCACGCATACACACACGCACGCGCACACTAGCTCAAAAATGATGATGATAATAATGATGATGACGACGACGATGATGATGAGGATAATTGTTGTAATTAAAATGGTGATAATGATGATTTCAAATAGCAGTTATTTCACGTTAAGTTGCTATGCATTAATATTACGGAGAGCCAGCTAACTGTCCTAGGAACGCACTGGTGAACCTGAAACAGACAAACAAC